TCCAGGCTGAACAGCCCCAACTCTCTCAGCCTGTCTTCATAGGAGAGGTGCTTCAGCCCTCGCATCATCCTGGTGGCCTCCTCTGGACTTGTTCCAGCTGCTCCAGGTCTCTCGTGTTGGGGGCTCCAGAACTGGACGCAGTATTCCAGGTGGGGCCTTACTGAGAGCAGAGTAGAGGGGCAGAATCACCTCCCTCGACCTGCTGCCCATGCTTCTCACCAGATAATATGGTGAAGAGCCAGTTTGATTTGTATGTGGTAATATGAAGTGAAAAGTTTTGTTCCTTAAATCTATGCATGGCTACTTGCCATTTAAAGCTTACTGTTAAAACACTTTTTCAGAGATAGGATCTAAGAAGCAGAATAGAACCAACAAAACAATCCCAAAACTGTACACGAGCTCACGGAGAGAATAATTTATGGACCACAGCTTGTCAAAGAAATATTTTTCAAACCAAATAGTGCTGTAATATTGCTTAATGCCTGGTCAAGACTGATAAAACTTCCAAATGAATATAATTTTGTGTGCATTCATGTGCGTGCACACACTCAAGTCAAAACAATCAGGGTTGTTTTAGGTTTTACTACAGTACCCTTTTTTTCCTGCCACATATTTTGCGGTGAAGCCGACGTTAAATAATTGCTCTCATTTTGTAACTTGGTATGAGAGAAACCTGATTGGATGTAATGCAGTAATATGAACAGGATGTTCAGAATTAGGTGTGGAGATGCATTTTTTGTAAGTGCTTTTTAAACTCACTTAAACAAGTAAAACCTTACTTTAAAACTACTTCAGCTTAGCAACAGCATGATTAACTTCTCTAATTGTGGCATATATACATTTGTAAGTGCGCTCTCCTTGCTGGTCTTGTTTGGTGTCAGTTAACAGAACATGAACATTCAGTTGAAGTAGGATCCTCTGGATTTCTTTACAGAAATTATTTTTATTTTTTAATTTAAACCTGATCATATTTTTGACTTTGGCAGGAAATGCTGGAGTAATACTCATGTTCCGGTGTATTCCTGTTCTTCTTTCTAAATTTGTATTGCTTTTGTCTTTGTTTTATTACCAGAACTTCAAATTTGGTTTTATATTCCCAGTTTACATTTCACTTTAACTTTGACAAATTTTACAAAAATCCAAGTGGATTCTGTGATTCTGTTTTGGAATAAGAGCAAACAGTTATTTTCTACGCGACAACTTGAAAATTTTAAACCAGCAGACTTCTGTCTGCAGGGAAAGTTCCTAGTTAGGATATACTGGCAGAAAATAACCTAACAGGAAACTTGGACTTCAGTTTTCACTGGACCTTTACTCCACCACCGTCTTGGTGTTTGGCAATAAAAGATACAGGCACTGGTTCCCCAGGGCTCAGTACTGGGACCAGTCC